CAACCTTAATGATTCTGTGATTCTATGTACATATTTTTATGCCAGGGAGGGTGGGTTGGGAACTGTATATGCTACTGTGAGCTGTGAGTACCTCATGAGCTTCATGAAGTGGCATGGTGATCTCTGTTTTGTGTTCTGTCTGTCTTGATACCCTGTTTTTCCAGCTGCTGTTGTAAACTGGAGTAATTTCTTCTTGGATCAATCCTGCTGTTAGTGCCAAGATCTCATTCATGACTGGAATGTTGTTTGGAGCCCTCTTAATAGGGAAAACTGGGATTTGGTTTCCCTTGCTCATCAGTGTAAATATACCGTTTTGGTCACTTAATTGCCTGCATATTTTCGTGGTTGGCTGTTATCTTTGCTAATGTAATACCAACAGACTTAACGACCTAAGTATTTGTCTTCATTTCCACACAGTTTATGCGTGTATGGAACAGCAGAGGAATTTACACAGGTTTCTGTGGGACTTGCTGTTGTTGTCACTCCTAAGTGTATACTGGCTATTTATTCATATTCCTTGGCACATTCCATATGTGTGTCTATCAGTGTTAAGAGTTCTGACCATTAACATATATCGCTATTGGGTGTTTAGAAATGTCTTCAAGACACCATGTCTTTGTAGATAGAAAATTTGGGAGATTTGAGTATTTTTGACTTCTGTCCAAAAGTGCAGTTTCTCCTTAAGATGAATCCTGTTTCTTTCTTTGTTGTGTGTGGTGTTTTTTGTTTTTTTTTTTTTTTTCCTTGTCTTAAGGAAAAAGCACTGGCTAAATCTTTCTCAAAGCTTACAATTGTAGGGCCAGCTCACTTTGGGGTATATTTGAGTATTTATTTATTACCACTTAAGGTCATGCTGTTTTTATTTCTTGAAAAAAACAGAAACAAATTAACTGGTGCAAAACTATGTGTGTAAAGACTTAACTTTAGAAAACTGTTAAATAGAGTGTTATTCAAATTCACTGTAGTCTGATCTCATTTTATGTCTTTAAGATACCAAATATTGCATAGTCACAAAGTTACTTTAAATTCACCTTAATTGCTGTCTACCTGGAAAATGCTACTTTCTACTTGGGAGTTTCAGTAAGAGTGCTGCTGATCCGTTTCCCTTGTAGGACAAAAAAGTAAGTGATGAAATAATGCAAACATCCTTAAATAAACAAGCGATGTAGAGTTAAAATGGGAATATGGTTTTCTTGTGTACTCAAGATCTGGTTTATGTTAGCAGTGAATTAAGCTATTATGGTGGTAAATCAGTGGCATGATGTAGCACTTCTGGGGTTTCCTCATGCATGAGTGAGGGCTTGTTTACAGACAGTACTGCATCTTGTTTTTCTGATGTTGTTAGTAAAGCTGATTGCACTAAGAAATGCTTTAGAGGCAATACCTAAGGGGTCAGGTTAAAATTACCCATGTGAATTCGGGGAGAGATTGTTGAAATACATGTCACTACCCTTAGTAGTTGGATCTTTCTGTGTTTGCTTTGTGAGAAAGAAGGAGACGTGGAGAACTTTCATCCTGTAAAGGCTATGAGTTACATGTTTAAATCTGAATTTTTATTGTGTGCAGAAATAATTAAAGTCAGTCATGGTATTGACGAAACTGTTTTTAACCTCCTTTATACTAACATTTTCTACTTGAATAAGATTTCTTGATATCAGTACTTTTAAGTTTAAATTTAGAAGTACTGATAAAACAATGGTTCAGCGAAAGATGAAATTTGACCTTCCCCATTTTACATTTCTCAGAATGCCTTCGTCCCTGGTTTTTCTTATACTTTTTTACCACTTGGAACAGATTTTAACTCACCTCCTTCACCCCTTTCCCTTCCCCCATTGAAAGCTGTTGTCCAGCTCCAAGTATCTGTTTGGTTGCTGTTTATGCTCTCAAGGGGTGTGTGCCTGTGTGTGTATATTTTTACACACGCAGACAAGAGGTACAGTTCTTGCTGTTTTGTTCTGTGCATGAGTTTTTGAGCATCAATTTAAACTAGTTTTGCTCACAGTGTAAAACTTGGAAAATTAAGCACCCAGCCACATAATGAGATGCATTCTGAATGTGCATGCAACTATTCATTATTTCTTACTAATAAGGTGAGGTCTGCTGATGGTCATCTTTTGAATAGGAGAGCAAGCAGAAGGAAGCTAAAAGCTAAATGCCCTTTAGGAATTACATTCTTTGTTGGTATAATATAATTTGGGGAGCCGATTTAGCTTTGTTTCTGGAGGAAATTATGTGCATGTGATTGCATTTTTGTCTTTCCCCCGACTTCTGAATCTGCTTGTTCTGCAATGCTATGTTGCAAGGCCGTTAGATGCCTGTTAAGCCAAACCAACTGCATCCTCTGTCTGCTCTTTGTCCTGTGGAAATACCAGGTAGTGGAACAGGAAAGAGGAGACAAAATATAAAAATCTCTAGGAAATTAGAGCACACTAGTTCTGCTGCTGACAAGAATGTGTTGCTCATTGTGACAGTAGATTCTTGCCAAATTCTGTTTGAAATGTGTTTAGAATTTTTAGGTCTGAAATCTCTCCATGCTGTAACATCTACGTTTGCCTTTACCTAAAGCTTGTGACTCAACCAAAGTCCTTGAAAGTTTTAAAGGCATTTTTGAGGTCCCTAATTTACCAGCCTGTGGTGTTCCCTACAAGAGCTAGTGAAATAAGTGTTAACAAACCATTTAGTATGTTAAATTTTTTTTTGAGCTGCTAGAACAGGAGCAAACCTGCCTTTGGGCAGAGTAGCTGTCTTAGATGTGTGTCAGGTTAGTGTTCTGGCTGTGGCTGAGAGGGTTTAAGGAGTTGCTCTCTTCAGCTGCTTGTTTTGTTCTCCCCCCCCCCCATTTTTTCGGGCATACCTAGATAATGCGTCACTTCTCAACCCTGTTCTGTCAAATGATCTGGGTTAAACACTAACGGTATTTTTCCTTCTAATGCAGAGAACTTCTGGAAGGAGGAATTAAGAAGTGAAGATATGTAGTTATGTTAGTTACCGAGGGAGGGAGGGATGTGCTAAATTTTAACAGGAGATGGTAAAATGCTTACTTATTTCTTCTGCAGCCAGAAGCGTAACTGACTGTAGTTGCCAGTTAACAAGTATTCTGCTAATAGTAGCTTGAGAATGTAAACTTGTATGGTATGACTTAAACTCCTATATTGTAGGTACGGATTAGGTAAATCATGTCTCCATCCTTCATAAAATTAACTGACAAAGCAAAGCATTACAAGGAATGGTTAACATCAAGGGCTGGCGTAGTGGCATATGAACAGTTTTGTTTAAAGAGTTCCCTGTAACCTTCTCGGATGAAATTTGAATCGTTACTATTAATATGCTTTTCTCTCATGAGTCTTTTTAGATCATCTGTAGTAAGTGTTGTTCAGACATGAGGGTTTATTGAAATCAATTTCACTGGGTTGATTCACAGAAATATTTAAATCTTTGTAAAGATTAACTGAATTTCTGTAAAGATAAATTTACTTATGGAATAAGAGCAGATTTAAAGTAAGGAGGTCTGTAGATGTATCTCACTTAAAAATAGTTTTAATAAAACAAGACAGTCCTTGGTTCAATTTTGAGATGTCTGAGTTACAGGACTACTATAACCTTTTACAGCCTTTACTACACTTTGTATGTGAACTTTGTTTTGCATTCTTGAAACACTAAAGAAGTATGTATAAAATATTTAAGAGTGGAATTATTTAATTTTGTTAGAAAGCCTTCCTAAAATTTTAGCCATTTGAGATTGTGAAGGCAAGGTGAGAGGGGGGGAAAGAAAAGAATTTTATTGCAACAAAATTCAGTAAACTTAAGTTTATGTTCCATGCAGGTTATTTTTATATGGTTTGAATCTTGGTGAGGCTAAATCATATTTTCTATTAGAAAAAATATTTTTGCGTGAAATGTTTAAGTATTTAAAAATAGTGTATTGTAAATGAAAAGCTCTCTGTGTTACTAGTTTCTGAATAGAAAGATTTTGTTATTTTTAGGGCTAATCACTTGAAAATTGAATTATTTCCAGCCGTTTTTCTTTGTAAAAAGTGAAGACAGAATTTTAGTTGATTCATTTTCTAGTTTTTGTATTGTCTTAATTTGACTTTTTTATTTGTTGACCTAATTGATAGGAAAGCAAAATAACTTGCTTGTAAAGTCCCTTACTTTAGAAAGCCCTGTTGTGAGGTTTTATTTTGTGAAACATTGCATAGTCCATGGAACTATGGTCTGGTTTTGTATTAAAACAGAATTGAACCTCTGACGTATTTAAAACCTACAGTAATGTTATTTTTTTCTATCAAATGTGCCAGTTGTCCTATCAGATCACTCAATAGGATGTTGAGTATTTTACAGGTTGCCCTCATTTTTTTTTTAGGAATTAATTTCATAGATGCTGCTATGAAACTTTTGTTTTTAACAGACACAGTATCGTGTCTGTATACAGTGGCCAGCTTTAAAACTGGTACTGCTTGATGTGTGTACATTGTATGTGCTTTCATAGGATTCCTATTGCATCAGAATGGCTGGGATGCTAATAACAGCAGTACTATGGCTGATTGGAAGTGGTTCGAAAGGTATGTAGTTGTAGACTTGCAGGGAAACTTCCTTGTAAAGTCATTGGTGGAGGATTGTAGGTGGTCTCTGCCTGTCGTCAGTGTTTCTTTCCAGTAGTCCCTATGACATATCTTTAATAAGTGTATTATTTTGAAATGAAGGGCTTTTTTATCTAATTCTTCAACTCTCAGAAATAATTTTAGAGGGTGTCCACGTTTAGATAACTTGCCAGCCAGGAAGGAGTGATTGAATACCGTAGCTTTGTATTACTTCATAGACTCTAGTGAGTCTGGCAACTAGTGCTTGATTTCTGTAGTACCAAACGTAGACTCTCTCTCCCCCAAACATAAGCGTTAATTGAAGTGCCTTGTTTTTTCTTCATTGACTGTTGCCTTGTTTTTAATTTGTTGACTATTTCTTTACTTCTATAGATACATCAGACCATAATGTGGGGAATGAATCTGCAGAATGAAATTGGTTGGCAAAAAGAACCATGTTAAGAAAAGCCTCTTTTGTGAAGCAGAGAGTATTGCCGTTTCTTACTTCATTGTTGTATCCTGGTGGTATTTAGAGGTTGATAGGGCTTTAATGTTCAGGAAGGGAAGAAAAAAGCCCCTGATTTTTCTCTTCTGGTGGTTTGTTTAGAGGGAATATGAAACTGTCCTGTCAGCGTTGCCCGTGTTCTGTTATGGTACTCTACAGTGCAGAAGCTGTGTGCTGCAAGATGTTTTTTTTGTATTTTTTCTTACAAAATAAAGTTTAAGGCACACCTAAGATGACAAAAGCAGCCTCAGAACATGTAGTTTGTATTTTGTAGAAGTTTTTACTTTGGTGTTCAGAGTAATGCTAATACTTGATAGCTCAGATTTTTCTCTCAAAAAGAGAATGAAACAAAATTTTAGCTGGATGAACCTGGAGGTACACTGGAGCTTCAGACTGGGTACTGATACAGCCATCCATTAAATCTTTTTAGTAAACTTCTATGTGGCCATAACCTTAAGGGACATTATAAAAGGCAAACCAACCAAATCAAATGTACCTTTGGAAGGCATCTGTTTTTTTCTGTGTTACTTTACATTGTGATCTGAAGTAGCTGTATGTGTATAACTTGAGAAGGTTGTAGTGAGGTGGGTGCTGGCCTCTTCTCTCAAGTAACAAGTGATAGGACAAGAGGAAATGGCCTCAAGTTGCACCAGGGTAGATTTAGGCTAGATACTAGGAAAAATTTCTTCACTGAAAGAGTGATCAGGCATTGGAACAGGCTGCCCAGGGAAGTGGTGGAGTCACCATCCCTGGAGGTGTTCAAGAAACGTGTAGATGTGGTGCTTAGGGACATGGTTTAGTGAGTTGGTGTTGGGTAGGCGGTTGGACTTGATGATCATTGAGGTCTTTTCCAACCTTAATGATTCTATGAATATCTTCTATGAACTTCCTGATTCTCAACTCTGTTATAGAGTTATTTGAGGAATTTTGTGGGAAATTAAGGACAGTGTGTCTTTTTTATTGTATTTCTTGATTTAAGTCAAGGTATGAGTATGTGTAATAGCTGCTATTGCCTTTGTCTGGGTTTTTTTTTTTTTTTTTTTTTTAAGACCTAGAGCGCAAAGGAACACATTTTAGTCTATTCTTAGTCATTGAAAAAATAAGTTGTTCCTCATAGTTAGGTGGAAATATGTAAATTGCCTCAGGAAAAGGAATCTAACACACTATGAAGTGGTGAAATGTGAGTAGCAATGTTGAAAGCAGGCTGGGGCGATGGCTGACAACAAACTGTAAGTGACTGTGCAATGTGGTCCGGTGGCAGAGAAGGCCACTTGAATTCTTTGCTGGGTATGCAAAGATGCCTTGCAGGATGGGGAGAAAACTTTGAAATGCTTTATATAGTTACAGTTGCAAAAAAAAGTTGTGCCTCGTTAGATACAATTTTCAACTCTAGAGACTACCCTAAGTAAGTGTGTCTAAATTTCCATAGCGTGGAGGCAGCTGTTCCAAAAAAAAGTGTGTTGATTTTGTGGTGTGTGGGGTGTGTCCATCTTCTCACAAACAATGTTATGTACATGCGCAGGTGTTTTTTTTACCCCTTAGTCAGGTGTCAGGTAAAACAAAGGTACTTCGTGTATCAGCCAGGCAACCAATGTGGTTGGCTTAGGGATGAGTACAGTAATTCAGTGCAAAGCAGAGTGGGGTGGCCCAGTGATCAGGCTGTTAGTAAAGGGACAGAGGTTCTAAGAACACACTTTGTTGATGTTTGTCCTAGGAATTAAAACTACAGAGAATGTAAAAATACACAATTTCCAAATTTTTATTTAAACTATTGTGGTTTTTGTTGTTGTTGTTGGCACTGTACTTGTTGCCATCTGTTATTTGATTACTAGGACTTTGGGCTGTTGGCTGCATTTTCTGGTTAGTGAAGAGTTAGTTCTCTGGTGTTGGTACATAAGTCAGATCTTTTATTTGCTAATAGTACTTACAAGCATCTTAAATTTCTGATGTTATTTGTTTCAGAAGCTTGGCAGCTCTTGGCAGTGATCCTAGAGCTTCGGAGAGCAGTTTTGTAACTTCTGAGAAACTTAAGATAATCTGTATCAGTGCAAAATGAAAGCATATCCTTGTGGAGTCTTGCAAGGTTGTTGCTTGCACTTAAAGAGAAGTCTGACTCTGACGTCTTATGATGATAAGAATTTGCTGTCTAACTTGGTTTTTTCTGAAAGGCATAAATATTTCCTATGACACTTTAATTTCAGACATGAAATATGAAGGTTGAGGTGTGTTCACATAAAACTAGTTTTGATGATAACCTTTGTCTAAATGCCTGTTAAGTGTGATAGCAGTTATGTAATACTGTGAATTAGAAATGTGCACATGAAATACGAAAACAGGGAGTTTCACTGGGTTTTGATGTTCAGATTTCTGGTCAGTTCAGAGTTTTCAGTTTGTCTTGATTTTTCTTGATACTGTATATAACAAAGATGAACGCTCGTAAAATGATGTCTTTCTCTGATTTGCAGATGTGAATGAATTGAAGGAATGCCTTCAGGTACTAGTGAAGGAACAGCAAACTCTGGCCACACAAACTGCTACAACAGCTCTTTCAGCTATGAGGCTAAAGCAGAGGCTAGTTATCCTGGAACGATATTTTATTGCATTGAACAGAACAGTTCTTCAGGAGAATGTCAAAGTTAAGTGGAAAAGCACTAGTATTCCTCTGCCTGCTGTGGATAAGAAAAGGTAATGACACATGCATGAACAAGTTAATATATTCGGAAAGTCATCGGAAGGTTATCACCCTGTGTATGAGAGCTTAATGTGATTTCTAATGTTAGTGGTAAAGAAACTTTTATTCCTTGAGATGGTTACGTGGTGTTATCTGCCACTCAGTTTTCCTTCTTGGCTGATGCTTGCTTAAAGTATCTCTGTTCACACTGGTGGGTTTTTATTGTAATACATTGCTGTAGATATTATTCTTTGAGCTATAATTATGCTTCTATTGAGGTATTCCTTTCGTTCTACTCAAAGTATGGAGGAACGTATTTCAGAAATGATGCCAATGGAGGTTACATAGTTCTAATAATATTAATATATTTGTTGTCAATATTTGCTCAGTTAAAGCACATAACAAATTTTAAAATACAAATATATGGAAGTTGAACATAGTTTTCTGTAGCTTGAGTGAGAAATGCTGTAATAGTACCTTTTATATGAAACTGTTTCCAGAGAACTAACTGAATAAGAAATTGTCTGATTGCTTTCCGTGTCTAGATAGCTCATTGACCTAAAAATAGAAAAATCTATCAGATGAAGCATTAAATAAGCTATTCAGTAGCTGAACAAGGTTGGTGTCTGACAGAACAAGCAATTCAACCAGGGAAGTTTTTACGTTAGGATTGTCTCTGGCTTCAAAAATGAAAGGAGGCAGCAAGTAGATATCATGACTAATTATTATGGGATTGGAGTTCTGACAATTATGTCTTTCTCTGAATAGACTGCTCTCTGAATTTTTTTTTTTTCCAGTGCTGATTAAAACGAGTACTGGTATATTTAAGTTAGCAGACTGCTAAAAATTCAAGTTTAAGTTTTTTCACTCTTGAAAAAGACCTAAGCAGCTCACTTTCTTTTGATGTGAGATTAAAAAGAAAACAGAATTGTTGGTGCCTTTCTGAGAGAGGAAGCAGTAGGGAACCTCCTGTCATTAAGTAACAAAGGAAAGCTTACTTAAATTAATGTGTTTATTTGCATAAAAAGAAAAGTTAACAGAAATGTATGTGAGCCTAGTGGGTGTTAACAAAAGTTCAAGCTATCTCTTTACACATACCAGTACAGAAGCTGCAAAGAAAATTTCATAACATTGATACTTGAATGGAAAGATAAGAAATGACAGAATTGATGACATTAGTTATCAGTAATTGAAGATTCATTAAAAAAATAGCCTAAAGCATAGTTTATGGGGTCCAAATTAACTAGAAGTATAAACTACCGGAGTAAATAATGAGCACATGAAGTATCTTATGTCTGTGTATTTTGAATACACCATCATAATTTCACTCTGAGTAACTTTAGGCACCTTTCTGATTGCAGTCAATTATACCATTCTAATTTATTTTTCCTCTGTGAAGCTTTTGATATTGGAGATTGAATGGGTTGTTCTTTGAAGCAGCTGAAGGTGAATTTTGGTGGTTGACATTTTGATGTTTGTCACAATTACAATTCTTTGCACATAAAAACTGTGTAATTATATATGCACGCATGTAGCTAAATTATAAAATTGTTGAACATGCACATTATGCAAATAATTACTAATATAAATATATATGATTATTATAAAAATTATACTGAGACAATGCATATATCATTTTATTTAGCCCAAGACCTGTAGGCAAAGGTGTAGAAGGACTTGCACGAGTCGGATCCCGAGCTGCACTTTCATTTGCATTTGCTTTCCTTCGTAGAGCCTGGAGGTCAGGTAGGCCTACTCTGTAGCATATTATATATATTTTTGATTAGAAGAGAGGTGATTCATTAAAGCGTGTGTGTGTGTATTAAATATTTGCATAGAACTGTACATTTATATATTTTAGATTTGCATAATTGTGTTTTACATTTATGTGCTATTATGCTCAACAGTACTGTTGCTGACTGAAGCTGTCCAAGCCAGCCATCCAAGCCCATACTGATGCTGTGTTGTGCTGGGCTACTTTTATGTTTGGGAAGGCAAATTGGGATTTCATTAAGAGAATGTATTTGTAATGCCAGATTTCAGAAAAGTTAGATTTATTCTTCAGACAGGGTCAATCCCCTATATTATTACGTGATAGCAGCAGCTTAGATAAGGGGTTTGGAGCAGTAGTGTGAAACTTGTGTACTTGTCAGTGATTGTTAAATTGCAGAGGTTGACAGAACTGTCACCTGTGCCACCTTCACGTACCTGTTTGTCTCAGTCTGTGGTGTTTGTTCAGACAACAGCTGTTTGTCTTGCTCTTTGTCCAGCCAGCCCTAGTTCTTCTGATTTACTCAGTGGATGCATAGTGGGACGAGCTGGTTTAAGAGTTGTCACATTTCTGAATATATTTTTTATGAAGCAGACAGTTCTTGAGAAGTCTTGGAGTCAAAATATTTGTGTGAAGATTGAGAACTTTGTCCGTATTACTAAGTAACTTTTAAGCTTGAGGTTAAAAAAAAATAATCCACAAAACGTTGTATAAAAAATTTGTGTAACTTCTGTAAAGACGGGAGTGTAACTAGTATTACTGTGTTCCTTAGGTGAAGATGCAGACCTGTGCAGTGAATTGTTACAGGAATCACTGGATGCGTTACGAGCTCTACCAGAGGCATCCCTTTTCGATGAAGGGACTGTATCTTCTGTATGGCTTGAAGTGGTGGAAAGAGCTACTAAATTCCTAAGGTCTGTTGTGACTGGGTAAGTTTCTTTTTTTTTGAGCATTGATGAAGTAGCTGTTAGATGACTGTTAAACTTGCATCTCTTTAGCAGCTGACAGTATTAATGTAATAGTTTATGGAAAATTAAAAAGATGGTTTTACTTTTCTAATGTTGTTACACAAGCAAGCAAAAAATACATGAACTTTGAAAAGATGCTCTTTAAATGATTTAATTCCTTTAACAGTTTGAGAAAAATCAGAAGTTGAATATTCTGAATCCATGTAGACTTAACTGAAAAATAGTGTTTCACTAGTGTAACCTGTATCCACATGATGAGTGCTTTGATAATGCAATATGTGTGTACGCTTAATTGTGCCTTTCTAGAATAGTAAAATAATGCAGACCTCTGTGCATGTGAGGGAAAATACACTCATATTAGCCTTGGAGCACTCCTCCACTCTTCCTTGTTATTTAAGGAGGCTTAAAATTACCCTTTTACAATAGCTGCCAGAAATTGTCTTTTGAATACTGGAACTATATCCTTACAGTGACTATTGTAAAGAGTATTTGAATTTCACCTGTGGAAAATGTTATTCATATTCTTAGGAAATTTAATAGAGCTCTAGAGCAGATAGTGAAGCCTGGGACAGTTTTAAAGTGTAGCTGCCACTCTAAATATTGATCTTGTGTGGAATGTGTCAGCTTTTCTTCTCAGCTGCTTTCATCACCAATTTTATATTTTTTTGTAAGTTTAGCAGTTCTTGGTGTGTTGCAGATGCTTTTGGTAAGCAAATATGTATTGTTTCCAATTACTTATTAGTTAATATATATTTTTTTACTTTTAAATAGAGATGTGCATGGAGTTCCCAGTACCAAAGGGCCAGGAAACATTCCGTTACAAGACCAGCACTTGGCACTTGCAATACTGCTAGAACTGGCAGTGCAGAGGGGTACACTAAGGTGAGAAGCATGAGCATTTTGATTTTTAACTATCACTACCTGTTAGAGTGGCCTGAGCAGTGCCTGTCTTCAGTTTTCCTGGGTTTGGGTTTAATATAATAATTGTGGTTCAAAGCATATGAACCTCTTCTGTCATGCAGTGGCAATCAAGCTCTTATGTTAGCTAGGTGGCAAAATGGATTTTTGCTGTTTTGATAATCTGTTTAAAATGGAAAGCCATGACATCCGATAGTGCTGAACTTCAAAATGTAGCAAGTGGGTTGTATGGATAACCTAAAATAATGTTTTTAGGAATGCTTTTAATAGACGATATAAACTTCCTCTTTCAGCCAAATGTTGTCTGCAGTTATGTTGTTGCTTCAACTTTGGGATAATGGAACGAGGGAAACAGATAATGAGCGATCTGCACAGGGAACAAGTGCACCTCTTCTACCTTTGTTGCAAAGATTTCAGAGTATAATATGTAATAAAGATGTGCCCAATACTGAGGAAGAGATTCAGGTACTTACCCTTGAATTATGAAAGGGGCATTATGTTGGTATCAAATTTCGTTTGTCTGACTAAAATAATTATAAAATTATCCAAACAAAATTTAGATTTATTTTGGCAGTAGTGTTTTCCATGTAAGATGTATGTACACCACTGTTGTTTGGTTTTCATGTGCACATTTGAGTTTCTTGAGGTAAGAGAAGGAAATGTCATAGTATGGTTAGAGGTAAGCATTGTGTTCCCGAGTTAATGCCTTTGTGATAATTAAGACATGTGGCCAGTTAACTTTTCTGCACATTTTGATGATTTTTATTTACTTGTGTTTGAAGTTAATTGAACTATGACTCTTAGTGAATATTATGGAGGTTGATAAAACATCATAAATCAATTTTATTATGCATGTAGCTTTTTATTACATTCACAATCTGACTATATTTTCTCAACATGTGTGTTTGGAATTTTCCTCTGCTGTAAGAAAAAGGATGTACAGAGTTAATTTGGTTTCTCTTAAACTTGTGTAGATACTCAGCATGTCTAAAATGTATTGTTTATCTGTATTTGTAGTGGCATAGAAATACCTTGAGCATTCTTCTGACTGCTGTTTTTTCTTTTCTAGCTCCTAACTTACCCTCTGAGTCCAAATGAAAGTTTTCTGAGGTATCTGACTTTACCACAGGACAATGAGCTAGCGATTGATCTGAGACAAACAGCTGTAGTGATCATGGCCCATTTAGATCGTCTAGCTACCCCATGTATGCCTCCACAGTGTAGCTCTCCTACATTTCATAAGGTAACTGTTTGCAAAGTCAAATTTAGTAAGATATTTTCCCTAAAAGAGTAACTGATTGTCAGTTTGTAAGGAAAGCAGCTCATAAGATTCTTCAAATTTCCTTTTGGTTTTCACAAGGTAATCTTGAGTTGCCTAAACTTGTCTTACTTTGGTATCTTTTATTATATCAGCAGTCTTTCAGTCAGCCTTGGAGTACAATTCTATGGTTTGTGAACCATTCTTTCCTATCACAACTCTGTGGCTAATACTGTCATATTTTGAGCTCTTCCCCATGTTTATCAGAGTAATTTGATTTAATACAAAAAAAAAAAAATAGAAAAAGTAAATGTTAAACTTCCCAACTTGAAAAAATCTCTGAACGCTTACTGTAGATATTTATAGCTTATTCTGTACCAGACTAAACTGAATATGATGCATGCAAGTCTTTATTTTTGATATCTTCTGATAGGTAAGCTTTATTGACTACTGGCAGTAATGACTGTCACAGGTTTGAGTGTATTTGGCATATAAGGACTTAAAAAATAACCTGCTGTATGCATTTTATTAAATTGTGTATTGTGAAATTAGTACTTATAGAATTTCTTATTTTCTAGGGATCTCTGCAAGAGGTCATTGCTTGGGGTTTAATAGGTTGGAAATATTATGCTAATGTGAGTGGTCCAATTCAGTGTGAAGGACTTGCCAGTCTTGGTGTTGTGCAGGTTGCCTGTGCAGAGAAACGTTTTCTAATATTATCTAGGAATGGACGAGTTTATACACAAGCGTACAACAGTGATACTCTGGTGAGAGGTTTTTTTTTTTTCTCTAAATGTTTTAAAAAGTGGTTTCTCTTGTGTATTATTTCATAGCATATGTCTGCTCCTTTAACTGTTTACAGTATCTTGGCAAAGTAGATGGGGGCATGCTGATTTTTGTGAGCTCTGTGTTGTTTTTAAACCTTCAGAAATACTGGTTTTCATCTCTGGTATTGATTTGATGAAATACATCTGGTTCCTGTAACTTCTGTCAGGCTATAGGTTAGGAATATATTGATAATTGCTTTAATTGGTATGCTGGCCTTGGTAACAACTGTAGGAATTGTCGGATACGAGATGGATTTTACTTCAGTGGTGTAACACTATGCCCAGACTGTGTAGTTCCTCAAACAAAGCTATACTGTAACAGAAACATTAGTCACTAAGTTTGCCTGTGAGATAAAAATAAACACTGTTTTCGTATATACTGAAGACCTTGTAAGGATGGGAACGAAATAACTTCAAAGCATTGTTTTTGTCAGACTCAAATAGTAGATTTGACTTTTTTCTTTCTTTATACCTTCCTTCATTAATTTGAGTGTACAGTTTTGATAAAGCCTTAGGAAAACTGTACCTAGTTATTCTGTATATAGGCAAATGATGGAAAGTATAAGCAGGTTTTGTAAGTGTATTGCTTTTTTTTTTTTTGTTTACAGGGACCACAGCTGGTGCAGAGTCTAGCTTCCAGAAATATTGTGAAGATAGCAGCACATTCAGATGGGCATCACTATCTTGCTTTGTCAGCAAATGGTGAAGTTTTCTCTTGGGGTTGTGGAGATGGTGGAAGACTAGGCCATGGGGATACAGTGTATGTAATAAAAATAATCATAACATTTATTTGCCAGTGTTCTGAATTAATAGTAAAAACTATTTAGTTGTGTATACAAGCACATTCAACATTTGACATTTATCTCTGTTATTTAACAGAAATTGCATTCTCCCTGCGTGTTTTCTCTGCCTGTAGTATTCCCAGTTCTGTATTAATGCTACTTTCTGAAATATGTGTAGATTGAGGGTGTATTAGTGGTTACACTGTTATTAGGCCTTTTATTCGTGGTTTTATGAATCCACAACGCATTTTATCTAGAAACATTGACTTAAATGTCAGAGTGGGGTCATAATTTCCTATGCAGTCACGTTGCTTATATCATTCCTTTTTTTTCTTCTGTGTTAAACAGTAAGGTTACTGTCCTGCTTTTGTGTAGGAGCAGTCTTCTACGGGAGTATTCTGTAGGCAGTGTATATCAATACACTTTAGAGGTTTTAAGTGTCTTCCCACAGTGCTGAATTCACTCTAAAGCAAGGGAATTACTACACAAGGGTTAGCAGTGTCATAAAATTAATTGTTCAGATACAGTAATTAAAGGTAACTTTTTTTATAGTAGACAAAATATTTTTAAAAAACACTGCATTAATTAAATTGAAATAAAAATCATAGTTGTCAGACATTTCTTCAGTTATTTGTATGTTGTTGAATAATCTGAATTTAATTTTTGGCTTATAGCTCTATTTATATTTTGATATTTTAGAGTAGTAATAAGGTTTGCAGGTAGAATTGCAACAGTTGTTTTCTAAGAAGTATGTCACACCTTTTTCTATCTACTCATCAGATCACCTTTTGTGAAATATGTCACCTTCTCTTTAGCCCTCTAGAGGAACCGAAGATGATATCAGCTTTATCTGGAAAGCAAGCTGGGAAGCACGTTGTTCATATTGCATGTGGAAGCACCTATAGTGCAGCCATTACTGCTGAAGGAGAGCTATATACATGGGGACGAGGAAACTATGGCAGGCTTGGTCATGGTATGTTACTTGATATATTAAAGTAAGTTGTTTGTCAAATAGTTATTTAGTGCCTGTCTCGAATACTCTTTTATCCAACTTACCTAAAAGTGACTTGAGAACTGTATGTGGTTTTACATGAATTGAAATAATTATGGGAGGGATTGTCTCAAAACCACTAAATTTCCATGAGTTATATGAAAATAAGCAACTGGATGGAGAAGAAAAATCTACTTTCTTCTCTATTCCTTTCCTTGTGAAGCAAAGACTATCTCGTGGGTTAAATCCATATGAGATAACTAAGAAACCATATGGTTCTTAGTCATGATGCTCAAATCTGAAAACAAAACCAAACCAACACTCCCTGCCCTCACACAACAAAACACCCAAGAGCAAACAAAAAACCCCCAAAAAACCTACCAGGCCTTCTTGGTTTTGCTTCTCACAGAACTGCTTTGTTTTGAAGGTTCCAGTGAAGATCAGACCATCCCAATGCTGGTCACTGGGCTGAAAGGACTTAAAGTTATTGATGTGTCCTGTGGGAGTGGAGATGCTCAGACTCTTGCAGTTACTGAAAATGGTTAGTAGGAAAATATAACTTAACACTTCAAGTAAGCTTACCTTTTTCTTCCTTTCATTCCGAGGATATTTATACTGCAGATATGCTTATTTCTACTGTCTTGAATTCTGTAAGAATTTGAAGCTGGAATTCCTTTTGGGGAAATATATATGTGAATTGATGTATTTTGCATGTAGTGTATGCAGGTATATTTATGTGAATAGATATGCAATATACTAATTATGAATATGCAAATATACATTGGAGTTTGTTATATATATTTAAAATACCCATGTAAATGTATAATATATACACAAAATATTACCCACATGTACATATGCATCTAAATTTTATAAGCACAAGTAACTCATTGTCTCAAAATTCTTGCTGTTATGTAGGAGAGGTGTCTGTGTTTAACCCATGGGAAGTGCTAAAGAGAGGCTGTACTGAAATTCTGCTTCCCAGCATCCCTGAGCAAGATGCCTAGGGGGAGACAGATTGAAACCTGAATTTCACTGTGTGAGGTTAAGCCCCAGAGTTATCCTTTAGGAAGCAAATAGTTCTTGGAAGCTAGTCGTTTTTTTTTTAAAATATAGGTGATTATGGCAAGGTGCAGTATTTAAAAGATGAAAGATTTGTTCATCCAAGAAATGGAAACCCAGATTTTAATTTTTTTTTCTCTTGGTCTCCTACTTGCATGTTTCTATTGCGTATTAGAGACTAGCTTATGCAAGCAGGGAACATAAATGCAGCTGAGTGTAAACCAAGACTTTATTTTTGGACATGCATGGGTTTACCATTCTTGAACCATAATTTTGTTTAGTGCAGATGCAGATTTGACATGACTATTTCTAAGTTGCTGCATCAGGGTTTAGATTTAGTAATGTATTTCAAAAGAACATGATAGACGATAGAATTATTAATTTCATCTTGTAAAATGGTTGAATGACAAGAACTGAAAATTAACAAAACAGGTTTCGCAGACATTTTGGCCATTTGATGTGGAAGAAGACTTTGCGAGTTCTTATAAATTGCACCTTATAATAGAAGAATGGCAGGGGGGTTGGAACTTGATGATCTTTAAGGTCCTTTCCAACCCAAACCATTCTATGATTCTATGAAGAAGTCAGTTTTTAACTAAAGGTCATACAGGCTTGATTTGCAGTAAATCCTGTACTTCATATGTTTTTAAGAAGGACTTTCTGTACACTGATGAATTTTCAGTGCATGTTGTGTGTTACACTTCTTATGTTTAATCAACATGAAAACTTTTCACCTCTTTTTCTTCCTTATTGTCGTGAATAATTAGAAATTAGTTTGTAACCGCTATTCGTAAATTACAATTTGAAAATTGTGCTTATTGTAGAATCTCATATTTTTAAGAACATGCTTGTCAAAGTAGATAACTTCATTATGTGAAAAAGCAATACAATGGTTTTTATTTTCTTTTTCTTGATTTAAAGGCCAAGTGTGGTCTTGGGGTGATGGAGATTATGGAAAACTGGGAAGGGGAGGCAGCGATGGTTGCAAGACTCCCAAGTTGATAGAAAAACTTCAAGATCTGGACATAGTGAAAGTACGCTGTGGGAGTCAGTTTTCTATTGCTTTAACCAAAGATGGCCAGGTCTACACCTGGGGAAAGGGTGACAATCAGAGACTTGGGCATGGAACGGAAGAGCATGTTCGGTATCCCAAACTTCTGGAAGGCTTGAAAGGTAATTAACAGAGCTGGAAATATTCCAAAGTTCTTTTTGGTGTTGTTGGAACCTTTTACCTGACACTGATGATTTCAACTTTAAGAACGATGGTATCATGTACTCTGTCATATTTTGTGCTGGTTGCATTGAAAAAGGTAATAGTGCATATTTTGTATCACTTCTGCATTTATACCTTTACAATTCTAGCAGACTTAGAGCTACTATGTTACAACTTCTTTACATAGTTCTTGTGTTGCGTTCTCTTTATTCTTACTGGTTTTCTTTTATTAGGTTCAAAGAAGTGCTTATTTAAAACATTTATTTTTGCATTGTCATGCAAATAATATGCTTAGAATAAGGCGTGTGAATGGAACAAATGAAAATCACAGGCAAAAAGTAATGTCATTAAAGTCGTGTTTGTGCCAGTACTTTTGACTATTTTGTAACAGAGTAAGGGTTATTTCTTGCATTTGTGAGAAACCTGAGGTTTTATAGAAGAAGATGAGGAAGAAACCTTGTTTTATTGTGCTGTCTTGCATAAAATAGTTTTTTATGTATGATGAATAATTAACTGAAAGTAACTTTTGATCTAATGACTGCAGTGTAGCTTCACAGTCTCTGTTCATAGATGGAGAAGTCTTTTATTAAACCTTTCCTGAGAAAATATTTAAGTAGCAGGGATACAAAATAGAACATTTTTTTTAAACTAAAACTTTTGTACTTAAGCTATCTCTTAATCTTTAAGTATTTCCTTGATTTTTTTCTTTTGCTGTACTCTTCCAATCCACTACTAAGGCAAAGATGAGATTCTTGACATGCATAATGTGTTCATAATTAAGTATGGTTGTAATTAGCACAGTTTTCCTTCTAATATTTTTCTGTTAATTATTGTAAACTTTAAGTTACATTTTCAATATTTGACTTTCCTATCAGGGAAAAAAGTGATAGATGTGGCAGCTGGATCTACGCATTGTTTAGCACTGACTGAAGATAGTGAAGTGCATAGCTGGGGAAGCAATGATCAGTGTCAACATTTTGATACTTTGCGGATCACCAAACCAGAGCCTGCAGCTCTCCCAGGATTAGACACAAAGCATATAGTTGGAATTGCTTGTGGGCCTGCTCAAGTAAGTTTGATTTTTTTAATTATTAATTATGATTTGTCTTTGTCTCTCGCTGAGATTAGTTCTGTACAATAATCCCTGTCCCTATTTCTGTGCTTGTATGACTGTTCTTATTTCTTTTTCTGAATAAATGAAGGCTTTTAAAAAATAAGTTTTGTGCAATTCCTTGCCAAAAAGGGATGATTGATTGTCCTGCTGTTATTTTGAGAAGTAACTATTTGCCTGTTTTTGTTTTTTTGTCTGGTACAGCAATTGATGCATTGTCAGGCAGAATGTTTCCTGCAGCAAAGATAGTGAGGTATCTGGACTGACATAACAGCAGTTTGGAAAATGTGCTAAGAGAGTTCTTTTCTGGGATTGGTAGGGTTTTATGTATCTTTACAAGGATGCAAGCAGTGGGTTATCTTCAACAGATATGCTGACACTATTCCTGCATAGAATCATAGAATGGTTAGGGTTGGAAGGGACACCTTGCACTAGACCAGGCTGCTCAAAGCCTCATCCAGCCTGACCTTGAATGCCTCCAGGGACGGGGCATCTGCAGCTTCCCTGGGCAACCTGTTCTGTGTCTCACCACCCTCACAGTAAATAATTTCTTCCTAATATCTAGTCTAAATCTGTCCTCTATCCAATTTAAATCCATTATCCCTCACCCTGTCGCTACACACCCTTGTAAAAAGTCCCTCCCCATCTCTCCTGTAGCCCCCTTCAGGTACTGGAAGGCTGCTATAAGGTCCCCCCGGAGCCTTCTCTTTTCCAGGCTGTACAACGCCAACTCTCTCAGCCTGTCCTCACAGGGGAGGTGTTCCAGCCCTCTGATCATCTTTGCGGCCCTCCTCTGGACCCGCTCCAACAGCTTGACATCCTTCTTGCGTTGGGGGGCCCAGAGCTGGACACAGTACTCCAGGTGGGGCCTCATGAGAGAGGAGTAGAGGGGCAGAATCGCCTCCCTCGACCTCCTGACCGTGCTCCTCTTGCATCTTCTATTACTGTTTGAAGGCAGATGTTAGCTTTACACTAATCAGTGTCATCTTATATATAACTGAATTTTTTGTATTGTTTCTATTTGTAGAGTTTTGCTTGGTCATCGTGTTCAGAATGGTCAATAGGCTTGCGGGTGCCTTTTGTGGTAGATGTTTGCCCCATGACATTTGAGCAGCTAGATCTTTTACTAAGACAAGTGACAGAGGGAATGGATGGCTCCTCTGACTGGCCCCCTCCTCAGGAAAAGGAATGCATGGCTGTGGCAACATTAAACCTTTTAAGGCTTCAGGTACCTTAAGTTTCATACACTTTGAGCAGTCATTGAACTAAATGTTACAGTAAATTGCTTGGATGAAAATAGTGGACTTAATGTGCTTTAAAACATTTTTATTGATTTAAAAACTGAAGTAAGTACAATATCACTTTCTACTCTCTGAAATTCGTCAGCTAGGGGTTGTTATTTTTCTTCTCAACAGCTTTTGAATCTCATTAAAAATGAACTATAAAAATGAAGTGTAAATGGAATAAGCCTTGTATACTCACTCAGTACGCCCATATACTTGGAGATTTTGAGCATTTCTAAGAATTTTAAATAACACTTTTAAGAGTGAATGTCCTTTGTAGAAAGTATCTGATATTCCGTGAAGATATGCTGTGTGTTTCCTTGCACGCTGTAGCAAAGTAGAAACAGTTTGAGTTACTCTTTAGGTTATTATAGTTCAGAATTTTAGGGGATATAGTTCATAATCTTTGAGTATTAGTTTAAATTCAGTATGTGTTTGGGCAAGCCAGCATTTCACTTTAGTTTTTTACAGATGAAAGTTTGTATCTTGGTCAGTGAACTTACTTAATTGCTCCAGGATGGACTTTGTTTTTTCAAGTTCACATCTCTTCTTAATTAAAATTTGCCCTTTCTTTTCCTTTCTTTTTTTCAGCTTCATGCTGCCATTAGTCATCAGGTGGATCCGGAATGCCTTGGCTTAGGCTTGGGCAGCATACTGCTTAATAGTCTGAAGCAGACAGTGGTAACATTAGCAAGCAATGCTGGTGTTCTCAATACTGTGCAATCGGCTGCTCAAGCAGTGCTGCAGAGTGGATGGTCTGTGTTACTGCCAACAGCAGAAGAGCGGGCTAGGGCGCTCTCAGCACTCTTACCCAGTGCAGGTTGGTCCTAAGATTTAAACCTGTTTGTTTTGTGCTTGCATTTCTAGTTCATTAATGGCTTATTCCGTTCTTAGTTTCAGGAAATGAAATGAATGTAAGTCCAGGCCGTAGATTTATGATCGACCTCTTGGTGGGCAGCTTGATGGCTGATGGAGGCTTAGAGTCTGCACTAAATGCTGCTATTACTGCAGAAATTCAGGTACATTTCAACAGCTTTGCAGTTCTGTATGACCAGAATAAGATCATGTATCAAGTGTTTTCTGAAATCTGTGGATTGATCTTATCCTCTTTTGACCTGAAACTTGAGCCAGTGTTTGTATGGAAGCATGACTCATTCTCTTTTTTAGTAGGGTGTTTCTTTTCATTGCCTAGAATGATGATTTTAATAATGGTAACAAACTTTTTCATAAAACCCTGTAATAGGAGCATACTCTTTGAATATGAGTGCTTTTATAAAACGCTTCGTACCTTTCTGTGGGATTCTTGAGTTCTTCACTTCCTTGGTGTCACCTGTGTCTCTCCCTCAGAAATTTCAGCCTTCTTAATTCTTAGGAATTACTTATTAATTCAAGATGAATTAATTATTTTTGGCATCCAAAATTACCATAGGTTCTGTTTAAGACTGGTTCGAATGTTTAAGAGATGCTGACTAGTTATACAGAGGATGAAAGAAACTTTCTGTACATACAGTCTTCTCCATTAGCTGCTCAGATGTGGGACATCCTCTGCACAGACTGCTTTAAGTTGCTGTATTTATGTATGGCTGTGAAAACAAAAATGTGCTTTTCCCTTGCCTCTTTATTTGTGTTGTTATTCTGAGTATATTTTCTTCTTGGTTTCTCTCTCCTGTTGGTAAACGATGCAGAGGAAATGCATGTATTAGGTTTTTCCTTTAACGTGTAGTCTAGCATTAGCATTTTCCATTGTATTTCGAGACATGCAGGACCTCTTGGTTCTTAACCAAGTCTCTGAGGGCAGTTTGTTATAGGATAGGTCAGAGATGCCTGAGCCACTTTGGATATAGGCTGAAAGTGATCTAGGTGGCAGCATACAGCACTGCAGAGGTTAATTTACATTGTTGAAAACCTGGCTGAATTAGTTTCCATAGAGTTTTGTATGACTGTAGCTCAGTAGCAAATCTAACCCGAGTTCTTCTGCAGTGGACTGGATTTGTTACTTTTATAAACGCAGAGTAAACATGCCTTCAGTTGTGAATTATACAGTAGCTACTGGCATGTTTAAACATACATAGAACAGAAATCAATTGTTAACTTGGTTTGGTGGAAATTGAATTTCAAGTTTTTCTACTCTTGTTTACCTCCATCCCCCACACTTTCTTTTTATATCATAATTGTTTAAAAAAAGTGTGTCCATGTGGTTCTTATGGAATATACAATACACATTTGTCTGGTAGGAATTGTTTAATTTCTGGCATAGGTAAAAGTAACTTTGTCTTCTTAGCACAAATATTTGTTAGTAAAATGTTTCGTAATCACAGTGTCCGTTTGTGTGTTTTCTTTAACTTGATTTACTTTTTTAGGATATTGAAGCAAAAAAAGAAGCACAGAAAGAAAAAGAAATTGATGAACAAGAAGCAAATGCATCAATACTTCATAGGAGCAGGACTCCATTGGACAAAGACCTTATTAATACTGGAATCTATGAATCTGCAGGAAAACAAAGTTTACCATTAGTTCAGTTAATTCAGCAGTTACTAAGGTAATTGCTTCAAATTTGTCTTTTATTTTTGTACAGAAGATCTGTTTAGAAGTTTTATGAACTAGTTAACTAAAGGATGACCAATTTTGGTTAGCAAAGTCTCCTGCTAGCATTTTACCTCCTCAGAATTCAAAATACTGAACATTCTCCTAGATTGTCTATAGTTTGCCTATTTTATGTTTTCTAAGGAGCAAAGTCCTATACTTAATTACCTGATTTTAGAAAGACATTGCTTTTTTTTACTGCTTCCTGTACTCGTAAAGTTTGTGTAAGAAATACAGGGCACATGTGCAAAAGCCCGTTTTTACAAAGTTTGAGAATCAGCACAAATTTATTTAGAACTGAATGTTTTGCCCTATTTAGAACTGAATAATTTGCCTCAAGAAGACTGTAGCTGGGGCTGTAAGTGGGGAAGAAACCTGAATTTTAAAATCTTGACACTGAGAAAGAATTGTGGATACATGACTGATAGAATGCTAAGAACAAAGCTTCTTTATGTCAGCTGTGGCACTATTTAATACATAGCATATGCAGGAGGAAGTAATTATGAGTTTATTAAGAAATTTATTGTGCTTTCTCACTTAATTGTGATGGTAAGCATATAATTTAATCAGTACTGAGACTCTTTTGAATGACAGTGTCGTGACTTTCATTGCAGCCTTTCAGTGAAAGTTATCAGATTGTTTTTTGTAGTGAACAGTGACAAAAATTTCAAAACCAGTGTATTTTATGAATGCTGTTAAAATGCCTCCACAAAAATCAATGACTTTTTGGGTGCTATGGTGCAAACAAAGGAACATCCTACATAGAAGTTTTGCATAGGTTTCTTATATATTTGTGTGAAATCCTAACAAAAGCTTAACCTGTGTTTGTGTGGACTGCCTTCACTATCAGCTCCCTTTAAGACCTTTACAATACTTTTATGCCAATTAGGAACATCGCGTCACAGACGATAGCCAAACTAAAAGATGTTGCTCGTCACATTTCTTCCTGCATGGACCAGGAACATTACAGCAAAGAGAGATCTGCTTCTCTGGACTTGTTGCTGCGTTTTCAGCGTCTGCTTGTTAGTAAACTTTACCCAGGAGATTGTGTTGGGCAGGTCCCTAATACATACAGTAAGTTATTGTAAAACAAACAAACAAAAACGAAAACAAAAACCCCAAAAAACCAAACCCAACCAAAAAAACCAAGTCGCACCCTCCCCAAGCATTTCTGTAATACCTCTTTTACAGCATAGGAGTTTCTTATGTTAATTTATCTTCCTTGTCTCATTTATCAGCCTAGATGTTGAGTCTGTCTGAAATGTGTTTGAAAATAGTTTCTTTAAATTGTGTTCTGTAAAGGAAAATTTCTTTTTGGAATGTAACATGATCTAGATAAAGAACTTTTTATTAACTTCTAAAACATTTTAAAAAGATGTGGTTTCTTAATTCAGTGCTAATACTGAGTGGCTACACTTCAGAAGAGTTTGACAGCTTTTGAAATCTGTTTCTTAAAGGTGACTGTGTGATGGTTTCTGTACTTTTCCTCCTTTTTTATACAGGTCCTGACCTCTTAGGTGTTGGCTCTTTACTGAAGAAATACACTGCTCTTCTCTGCACGCACATTGGTGATATACTTCCTGTGGCAACCAGCATTGCTTCTACTAGTCATAGGCATTTTGCAGAAGTATCTCATGTTGTGGATGGAGATTTAACAGGTAGCGTTTTCTTTGCTGTCATCCTTTCCTCCCTTCCACAAAATTATAAAGTTATATTGTAGATGTTCTTGAAAGTTCTAAATGACTAAAAAAGAGTCAGTTTAATCATTTGATTGATGGGAAAGAAGGAAGGCATATTTGATGGGGAAGGCAAGAGCTTTGTACTAAAGCAGTGATAGGCAGAAGACAGAATGTATTGCTTCATGATTTGCTTCCATGATGCTATGAACATAGATCTTGAATTAAATCTGAATGTCTTCTGTCTTTTCTGTGTTTTAGGCATTCTTCTTCCAGAATTGGTGGTTTCTGTAGTGCTACTCCTCAGTAAAAATGCCGGATTAATGCAGGAAGCTGGTGCTATCCCTCTGTTGGCTGGCTTGCTAGAACATCTAGACAGATTTAACCATTTAGCCCCTGGAAAGGAAAGGGATGACAATGAGGATTTAGCATGGCCAGGAATAATGGGTATGTGCTAGTAGCATCTGAACTATTTATTCATGTTTTCATAAAGTAGCTATATGAAAATGGTGACTGTTCATGAAGTACTCTTAGGAACAGTACAAATTTTTATTAAGAAATTCATATGGCAGTATTTATTTCTGTCAATAAAATCTTAAGGAAGATGTGTGTAGAGGTAGGATTAAGGAGAGTAAAAATGCAACTTTTAAAAGAAGTAGTTCACATCATTTTGACTTTTGAGTGTGAAAAGTTGCAGTGAAAACATGAGTAATACGTGTACACATTTTGTTACTAAATTCTATCTATAACATAAAGAGAGAGTAATGTGAAAGCTTTGAAATAAGGAAGCCTTCTTTTCCCAGGGCACTTTATAATATGGGCTGTGTCTGGGGTGAAAAGAGAAGGAGAAAATACGCATTTCTGACTGAGCATTTTACTGGTGGAGGGAGGAATGAAACATGGTTGGCATAACGCAAGAGAGATAAGGTCACACTCCTCAACAGTAGTGTGGTGGGAAGAGCAAAAACTATGTGAAAATTAACTTACTGGTCTAATAGAGCAAACTGAGATAAAGGCACATAAGTATGAACACTACTCTTTGACATTTCTTTCCTGGATGAAATTACCTTTAGTTTGAGTTGTAACCTTCCTTCTTTTATTAAAAAAAATGGATTTAGACTGAAATTAAATATGCAGCCAATCCCTTGCAGGCAGGCATGTAGTAAAACTGAAGTAATTTTGAGGGAGAACCGACTAGAGCAGTGATTTGCAAGAACACTGGTTATTCTGCTCCACCTCCAAACAAAACAGCTATATAGTTGGGCAATGCTAGGTCTTTGACAGTGGAGATTAGTGCATAAAAGAATACAGCATGCAGACAATTTAATTTAATTGCATATTATGTAGACAGGAATGTATTAATAGCCATTTTGACTTTTGAGTGTATTATAAGATAAGCAGCCTTTGAATAGAAGTGAAGAATTTGCTTAGGCAACTATTAAAAGAATATTCAGAAAACCTTTGCTTTCTGTTTTTCTGTTGATAAATTTTCTATTCTGTTTTATATCTGTAGGTTCATTTTTTACTGGCCAGAGTTGCAGAAATAATGAGGAAGTGACACTTATACGTAAAGCTGATCTAGAAAACCACAACAAAGATGGAGGATTTTGGACAGTGATTGATGGGAAAGTGTATGATATAAAGGACTTCCAAACCCAGTCTTTAACTGGCAGTAGCATACTCGGTGAGAATCAGCATCTGAGTTAAAGACACAAATTACTTCTGTTTCAAAACTAGATAGCATAAACAGGTTTTTAGATATACCAACTACCTCTTTCTTTCACTAGCTCAGTTTGCAGGTGAGGACCCAGTTGTTGCTTTGGAAGCTGCTTTGCAATTTGAGGACACGCGGGAGTCAATGCATGCCTTCTGTGTTGGCCAGTATATGGAGGTAAAAATGTTATGTATTAATGGATACATATTTTCTAAAGTGAAGTATTGCTTTGCTTTCAGAATTCTTGTTGAAGCTCAGTTCTAGCTTTCAACTCCTATTTGTTTTAATTAGCCTGACCAGGAAATTATTACAACACCAGATCTCAGTACTTTGTCATCACCGCTAATAGACACAGAAAGGAATTTGGGTCTTCTCCTTGGACTGCACGCTTCCTACTTGGCAATGAGCACACCACTTTCTCCTCTGGAAGTAGAATGTGCCAGTAAGCAGAACTTAATTTTGAGCTTAAGTAATAAATACTTGTCAAAGCATGCAAGAAAAAGGCACAGGCCAGATAAATTAACTGTAAATCTAGCAGTTCTTTAGTTTTGCTGTCGTCTGAAGTTGTTCTTTATTCTTAATATTAACCACACTCATTAGGATACAGTAATCTAGCATGATTTGAATGGGGATTAGGTAATTTTGAACACTTAAATGTCCAGAATTTTGTAATATGCAAGATAGAATATTGGAAGAGAAAGGACACCCTGTATAGTGCAGTTACCTTACTAGCTTGTGTTCAGCTAAGAGTGCCTGAAACATCTGGTGCTGGATTCTATCTTGTTGGGTGTCTTAATTTGGGGAATAGAGGGTATAATTCAATATTGATCACAGAAAAATAGCTAAGGCCCTATTATCGCCAAACAAGTGATGACTGCCCTGTTACTTATTTGCAGAACCCTCTTTTTTCTGTGAAAAAGTTTCAGCAAATGGAAGAGCTGGTAAACTTTGAAGCTGTGTATGCTTTTTATTTGGGGGAATTGTTGAGACTTGATAGCTTAATCTTTCATCAGAATACACGTTTGTGTTTTCCTTTAGAGTGGTTGAAGTCGTCTATCTTTTCTGGAGGCTTGCAGACTAGTCAGATTCATTACAGTTACAATGAGGAAAAAGATGAAGACCATTGCAGTTCACCTGGTAACACTACCCCAAATAAATCAAAACTATATACGCATCGATTAACTTTGAATGACCATTCACAACCTTTTCTCCAAGCTATTGCAGATAATAATATTCAGGATCACACTGTGAAGGTAAGCCCTAGTAGTTCCTAGTAGTCCTAGTAGTGGTGGCCTGAAACAGTTTTGTTGGTGAAAATTCTCCAAAAGTTATAACAAATCAAAAAAGTAATTTTAGAATTACTTTTTGTGAAAGGAGTGGTTGAGTACTACTAATGGATAACATTTTTGTATTTCACTTAATATTATAATAGTACAGTATTTTCTTTTGAATTTTTGAGTGAGAGAACTAAAAAATTTACATGTAATTTTTACCAGAAAAAAATAATAATGCATTACTTTCTGTGTCAAATTTTAGTAGCATTGACAGACCCTGCTCACCTCCAGTGGAATTAAGATGGTTTTCTTTGACAAAGTGCAGATGTATTTTGTGTGTCAGGGGCATTTATGCCTTTGTCTTCAAGTCCCTTTGTGCTGTGGGGTTCAGATTTCACCTAGTTGGAATCATGGATATTATGAAAACCCTTAATATTTACATTGACCACCTTCAGATTTTCTAACTCTGAGTTCAGCTCCTTTATCAAAAAAACCCAAGTAAATCCTTGGGAGGATAGCATATCAGTAATGATGAGTCAGGAGAAGACAAAAATCATTTTAGATGACCTGGCTGTCTCAGGAAGAGATAAAAACAGTAGTAGCTTTGTTCCTTGAGCCATGTTGCTCCTCATGCAAGAAGGATACAAGGTATACTTTGTAGTATTGGGTTTTAATTGCTGTGTATTAAATAGCGCATACTGTGTGGTATATCTCACTTCTGAACGTTAGTTCAGATTATGGAGGTTATTCACTGTTTTTTAAAAGCTGTCTGTGGTATTTTGGGTCCCTTTGTTGTATTTAAAAGCAAAGTTAAATAGAGGCTGTTGTTTTTCTTTGTAGGACTTCTTATGTCAAATAGAGAGATATTGTAAACAGTGTCACTTAACAACACCGATCACATTCCCTCCTGAGCATCCTGTGGAGGAAGTAGGACGTTTGTTATTATGTTGTCTTCTGAAGCATGAAGATTTGGGTAGGTGGGCTTGTGGTATAGCTGTCCCAGAATACATTTTGGATCAGTATAAACTTGTGCTATGGATTATTTTGGAAATGCATATTTAGAGATTGTCTTTTCCCATTAAGGTCACGTAGCACTGTCTCTCGTTCATCCTGGTGCCCTTGGAGTTGACCAGGTAAAGCACAAAACTTTACCAAAATCTGTAGTGGATGTGTGTCGTGTTGTCTACCAAGCAAAATGCTCACTGATTAAGGTAAGTTTCTTACCTGCTGAAGTTTAGATTATTTTTAATTTGAAATGTTTTATTAAGAAGCTATATATTGTTCATTTTATTGTATATTAAACAGTAACCTAATCTGTCAATGCCTTTTGTAGACCCATCAAGAACAAGGACGTTCTTACAAGGAAGTTTGTGCTCCTGTCATTGAACGTTTGAGATTCTTATTCAATGAACTGCGTCCTGCTGTTTGCAATGATCTATCAATAATGTCTAAATTTAAACTTCTGAGTTCCTTGCCCCGGTGGCGCAGGGTAGCTCAGAAAATAATTAGAGAAAAAAGGAAAAAAAGAGGTAAGGCAACATTAATGTTGTGTTTTCTTTGAAACAATGAAAATCCATCTGACTCCAAGGTTTGCTGCTCTGTATTTGAGACTCTTGTTAGCTAAAGCGTCAAAGCCATTGGTTTTCTGCTGCATTTTCATGAGGGTTTTCTAAATCAATGGTTACATGTCAGTTCCTACAGCAAAAACAGGCAGACAAGAGAGCCAAGTTTAGTTGGGGCATGATTCTTTGTGTTCCAGCTTATTAAGAATGATCCAGCAATATCAGTCCCTCTGGTTTTAGTTACATTTAACTGGAAGTGGCATCCTATTAAAAATGATGTTTTATTAAAGCAGTGTAGTCAAATAACTCATTAACTGGAAATACAGTAACATGGTGAACAAGTGCCAAAGTGCTTTTGAAATTGGTCTTTAAAGATAAAAGCGTATTGCAGTTGTTAACAGAGCTAATTTGGTAATAGTTGGACATAGAGTTCACCAAAGTACATTTCCGTATTATTGCAAGCAGATCATAAGCATTCTGTACGTAGATTTTTTAGGTCTGCGTATTAACCTGACACTGTAAAATGTTATCAGATTACATGAAAGAAGAATTTTTTTATTTCTAGTGCCAAAAAAATCTGAATCTGCTGATGTGGAAGAATCCAAAATTGGAAATGAAGAGAGTGATTTAGAAGAATCTTGTGTGGTACCTCACAGTCCTATACCTATAGACAAAAGACCCATGCCAATCAAATCCCCCAAGGTAGCATATTGCATTTTGTATCAACTTTGTGAATAAAAGTAACAAGAGGACAAAATATTAGATAAGGCATGATTGCTATAACTAGGCATTTAATATTCTGGTAATGGTGTTTGGGATGTATAGTTAAGTATGGAACATTGTGTTGGTGAAATCTGGGATAATTCTTAAAAATAGGCTTGTGTACTTCATATTTAGAATATGTAAAGATACCTTCTCTAATTTTCATATTATCAATAATCTTTGAGTCAAGTCCAGCTTCATTTTAGAATAAAAGGTTATGATGGTTTACTTACCCTTTTTTGGATATTAATGCATTTGAATTTTTATGTAGCAATTGTAAATGATAATGAGTTACAAATACTACTAAGCTCTCTCCTGGCTTTGAAGAAGTTTCCTTTTTTTTTTTTCTCTTCTAGTATTTAAATTTGAATGTAGTTTTACATTAAATGCCTTAATATTTTCAGTAATTTGAAATTTATTTTAGCATGCTACCTTCCTGTCTTGCAGGATAAGTGGCAGCCAATTTTGAGTACAGTTACAGGTGTCCACAAATACAAATGGCTGAAGCAAAATGTCCAAGGCTTGTATCCACAGTCTGCCCTTGTTAACACCATTGTTGAATTTGCACTTAAAGAAGAGCCAGTGGATGTAGAAAAAATGAGAAAATGTTTATTAAAACAGGTAAAATGAATGAAAATGCGCTTACATGTATTAGCAGTTTACATAAGTTTGATTTTTTTTTTTTCCCCTCTTTCGCAGTTGGAGAGAGCAGAAGTTCGTCTGGAGGGAATAGATACTATTCTGAAATTGGCAGCAAAAAATTTTTTACTCCCATCTGTGCAGTATGCTATGTTCTGTGGATGGCAGAGGCTTATTCCAGAAGGAGCCAATATAGGGTAAAACTTTTTGTTGGTTTTGCTTTCACAGTTCTTCAGTAGGAAAAAAAAATACTTATTTTTAGTTGTTGTTTTGTTTTTTTTTTTTTTTTCTATGAAGGGAACCTCTTACTGACTGCTTGAAGGATGTTGATCTGATCCCACCATTTAACAGAATGCTGCTAGAAGTAACTTTTGGAAAGTTGTATGCGTGGGCTATTCAGAATGTCCGGAACATCTTGCTAGATGCTAATGCAAAATTTAAAGAACTAGGTGAATCTCATTTTGTTGCTGTTGGGTTGGGAGAAATCTGTTTCAAATGAATATTGTTGTATTTTTTTTTAAAGTTCCCGATAGTTTGGATCCTAAAATCAGTTCCCTTTGTGCTGAGAACTACTTCGATTTTGTCCATCTGTGTGTTGTTCCACTCCCTGCCCCTGTTCCCCCTTAACTCACTTTTCAGTGTTCAAGAGAATGTTGCTGTATCCCAGCAACAGGTCATTGATTGCTCATTAATAACATTTTACCATTAAAATCTAAATTATAAAAAGTTTCTTGCAACTTCACCTTGTAGGTTCTTAAAGCCAAGCAGGGAATAAAAAATATTTTAAACCATGAAACAAATCTATAACCTATTTTATTGTCACTCCAGAATGTCAACTGACTTTGTTATTTGTATTACTTTTGAATTAGGTGTGCAGCCTGTTCCTCTACAAACAATTACTAATGAGAATCCAGCAGGACCAAGTCTTGGGACTATTCCACAAGCACGTTTTCTCTTGGTCATGCTCAACATGTTGACGCTGCAGCATGGTGCTAATACCTTGAGCCTCCTCCTTAATTCTGGCATGCTAGCATTGACACAAACAACGCTGCGGCTGATAGGTATGAGATCTTCTGGTTTCTTGTTTGGAAGAAAGCACATGTTTTATAATAAATCTCATGTGTGTTTTACCTGTTGGTGTACTCAAATTACAGAGTGACTTTGCTGCTTAACGATAGTACTTAGTGCTGTTCACTTTTACTTCTGACACCAAACCTGTGTCTGTAATCACGATTGAGAAAGAAGTTACTTTGACTATAGCCTTTATTTAGTCATGATTTTTCTGCTGAGCCTTTGCTTTGGCCATCCTTTGCTGGAATTTAGGAGTGATAGTATAGTTTTGGTGGAAACATTACAAATAAATTAAAACTGGAAAATTTAAAATGGAATTAAAAGCTGCGTATTTCCTACTCAATTAGTTTCATTTTTTCTACGTATTGAAACTATTCCCTGTCTGCATATTTAAGCTGAAAGCTTCCTTTGTTTGTTCTAAGAAGCTGTGTGGTGTTTTTTGCCATGATTCAAGTTCTCCTGCTTTTTCTTTCTTGGTTTTCTTAGATGATAGCAAATATTTGTTCTCGTAACTTGTACTTAACTGGAGTGCTCTTAAGAAATTTTTCCAGTTAGCCACTGAACTTGTTATTGTAATGTCTCTATTATTTGTAACTTATTTTTGTTCAAAATTAAGTTTTTAAAGCCCTGTGCATTCAAAACCATTATATCCTGGTTTCCTAAAACTCATCTGACTCTATCATGTGTTACATCAGCTTTCCTATGTGTTGTTGCTTTTACATTACAAAAGTTATATGCCTTAAACTTTAAATGTGACAAAAAAAAACCCCAAAAAGCTTGTACCTGGTTATAATTTTTTTTGTTGTTTTTTCCTCTTTAGGACCTAGTTCAGACAACATTGAAGAAGATATGATTGCCTCTTCTCGAGGAGCTTCTGCCACAGTCCTAGAAGAATCTAGAAAGGAGACCACACCTGTTCAGCTCCCTGTTTCTGGACCAGAGCTGGCAGCCATGATGAAAATTGGTACCAGAGTCGTGAGAGGGGTAGACTGGAAATGGGGTGATCAGGTACAACTTATTTCGTACAGGTTTTAGTGTGTTTAAAAATTAAAGCTTCTATTCAGTGGACTGTGTGTGAATTTTATGTTCAAACTTTAAAGGTCTTATACATTTCAAAGACCTGGAGAATTAACATAAAATGTATTAATTATTTGTTTAACTTAATTTTTGGAGATGAAAATTCTTTTTTTAGTGGAACTGTTCTGATTCACAATTTGACAGGAAATGGCATCAGTTGTTTGCTGTGGTACTATGCACTTCCAACTAGGCGCTTACCTAGTACATAGTAAAATAGTTCTAAACATGAGTGTTATTGCAGTTTACTGCAGTAGTTTCTTTTGAAGATTGTGAAATGCTTTCCAACTTTATGCTGGGTTTTGAAACATTATTGAAAGTTAAGAGCAAATAAGAGCAATAGCGTTTTTGTTTTATGAACTTTGGATATGAATTGGTTGTTGATTGTGTGACTTGCTCTCTCTTCTGTCAGGATGGACCCCCTCCAGGCTTGGGTCGTGTGATTGGAGAATTGGGAGAAGATGGCTGGATTAGAGTGCAGTGGGACACTGGAAGTACAAATTCTTACAGAATGGGGAAGGAGGGAAAATACGATCTCAAACTAGCTGAGCCACTGCCAGCAACGCAGCCCACAACAGAGGATTCAGACACTGAGGATGATTCTGGTAAATAATTTTTCTAAAAGTAATATTTTTCTAAAAGTGGAAGTAGGGTTTTAGTTCAATTCCAGTATTGATTTAATATGAAAAAGCTTTTTTCACAGGAGAAAATTCTCCTTCAAAGAAGATTAATTTAATAGGTATACATTTCTGACCAGAATTTTTCTTAAGATAACCTTACCATGAGAAAGGAGGATAGAAAGAATGCATTTGTTATGTGTTCATGGGCCAAAGAAAACAGTATTATCCAATTGAAATAGTTTCAATTACAGATACCAGGAGGTATACATCTTAAAATATGTTAATGCCATTCTGAAGTGTGTTTTATATGGCCTAATTATACATCTAGTCACACTGTTTCCCTATTCTTGGCACTGCATTTGGAATTTAAGTTGCATACTGCTAGAGAGTAACTTGAAAATATCTGCACAAAGTATTTGATTTATGTTTTGCTCTTGCAGTTGGAAATAAGGAATCTTCTTCATGTCAAATCATCTTAGAGAAAATATTTGCAACAAATTTTTCACATGGTGTTTATTTCAGAACTCTTTGTGGAATAGATTAATTTAAGATTAATGTATTCTTTGCCTTTTGTGTCTCCCTTCAGAAGGAGAACAAGTTGAAAGGAATCTCCACCCTACTTCCATGATGCTGACAAGTACAGTGAACCTGTTGCAGACACTGTGTCTCTCTGCTGGGGTCCATGCTGAAGTCATGCAAAGTGATGCTACTAGGACTTTGTGTGGCCTACTCCGTATGCTTGTGGAGAGTGGAACGATAGATAAATCAGGTATATTACATAGAAACAGTCTGATTCAGCTATGTGCTTCTGTTTTGTGCTTTGTTGTTTTGTAACTTTGTAAATTTCCTGTTACTAGTTTTTAATCTTTTGAGGCCAAAGGCTAGAAAATGCATTTAAAAATCTTAATTGTTAGCAAAAGCAAGATAAGTGATCTTGATTATTCTTAGAACATAATCAGTAAAAGCAGGAGAAATCCATGAGATGTGGAGCATCAAGATGTATACAGTTGGCTTATACAATGAATTTTCTAGCAGTCTTTTTCTGTTTGGGGAGGACACTGAGACTGGGTGTATCATATTCATTTCCACAACTTCTTTGTAATTTCAGAAGTAATGCTGTTAACTGCTTCGAAATGAGGAAATGCTTATAAGGATGAGAATTGTTTTAAAGGCATATTTAATAGAATCAATTACAGGCTCTAAAATTGAAGATAATAGTTCATGTAAAGACAGTGGCGTAGCTGAGTGTTATGATTTGTCCAAAAAGGCCCTATGTAGTATATGGAGAATTACATAGCTGGCGGAAAAGTCAACTGTTATATGTGTATCTTTTTGTTTTTAGCTTCCTTGCCAAATAAATTAGTTTATAAAGAACAGCATAGGAGTTGGTGCACGTTGGGATTCATTCGAAGTATAGCGCTCATGCCTCAGATGTGCAGCACTCTTAGTACATCTCAGTGGATAACTTTGCTAATGAAAATTGTTGAGGGGCATGAATCTTTCACTGCTGCTTCACTACAGAGACAGGTAATGTGTGTATTTCCAAATTACTTTGATAGGCAATGAATTTATTGGACTTTAGTTGTCTTTAAAAGAAAAAGTGTATTTTAAAAAACAGGCGGGAAATGTCCTTAAATCAGTTTTTAATTAATTGGAAAAAAAAGCACCATGCCATCTTATATTTAGGATTCATTGTTTTAAACATAGATCTGTAATTTTTTGAGCCTTCAGGGCACTATACACTCGCTTGTTCTGTTGAAAACCTGAAAGTTTTATACGGATCAGAGGTGTCAAAAGTATGTTCCAAAAATGTATTCCAGAAACTCCCATATAATGTTTCCTTGAAGTTGAATAAAGAAAAAAATAACAAAAAATTGGTTAGGAAAAATGTGCAATTTCATTTTGAAGTTATCGTATTGTGTATTATCTACTGTTCATTCTTCCATAGTAAACTGTTGTTATTATTTTAGATACAGTCTCTTTTTAAGAAGCTGCATCTTTGGATCTTATTTTGGTATTGTATTTCCCTTGTCCCCTTCCCCTTTTCTTTTTCTTTTTTTTTTTTCTTTTTCCTTTCTTTGGCTTCTTGTAGTGCCTTTTTCATGAGATTGAAAAGCAGCCTTATCATGGAATAACTCTTCCAAGTTATTCTTCAAAAGATCTTAATCTTTTCCTTGAGAAGGCGTCAGCATTTTTTAACTAACACCTTGTATCATAAAGGCCTGTGCATTTTTGTGTGATCTTCCAGGAAATTCTTGCCATTGTTTTTAATATGATGAGACTTGTCATCATCTAGAATTTAGTGCATTAGAGTGACCTGTACTGGTCATGAAATACTCAAGAGAAATGAGCATTCCTCATGTACCAGCATCTAACTTAACAGGAAAAAAGACGAGACCTTGAAGTTTAAAAAAGAGTGTTATTGACAGAGATCTCTTCACTGTTACTGGTCACTTGTATTGTATTTGTCTTCTGGGTAGAAGATGAGGAAGCTCAAAACTTGAAATACTCCTATTCAGAATGTGCAGCCCCATCTGCTCTTTGATACTGCATCGCTGCGCCTTTGTGTTTCTCGTCAGTCCTGCACTGAGTGTCTAGGGTTAGATGCCACCCTGTTCCTTCTATACTGTGTTGAAGGCCCTAGTTTCACAGTAACTGCTTTTGGTGTCACTGTGGTTCCTTTTTGCTTTCTTGTATCATTCAGCTTTATATCTCATGACTTCTGATTATCATAGCTTCATTGCAGGATACTTGGAAGCTTTCATTCTGAAATACATCTTAGTACTAAGTTCTGAGTCTGGAATCTGAACAAACATTCTCATTCTGTATTCCTATTTTTCCTATGTGTTTTAGTCATTTACATTGTTTCCCAGTGTGTGTTTGTTTCCATGTCCTGACTATTGAAGAGGTTGGGTTCACTAATACAATGTGCCAATAAAATTCTTACTGACTGTGAACTGACACAATTTTTTTAAAAATATTCCTTAGCAAACTGAACAGAAGATCAGTAGCTCTGTTATTTCCACAGCTGGAAAGAAATCAACATTGTAGAAAGAAGTCTAACTTTTGAAGTGTCTTTCTTCCGTACTTAATATTTTTGAGAGTTTCTTTAATATTTGGTGACTTAGAATGGAATAACATTAATTTTGTTCTCTTTTTAGATCCTAGCTGTACATTTATTGAAAGCAGTGCTTCCATCCTGGGATAAAAATGAAAGGTCAAGAGACATGAAATTTCTTGTGGAAAAACTCTTTGGATTTTTAGGCAGCCTGCTTAGTACTTGTTCTTCAGATATCCCACTACTCAGAGGTAAAGGAATTTTCCCTCAGTGTCTTACTTTTATGTATAGAAAAATGTGTGAGTTAAATTGATAACTGTTGTTCAACTGCTTTGGCTTTCCAGAATCTACTCTGAGAAGGAGAAAGGCCAGGCCCCAAGCGTCTCTAACTGCCACTCACAGTAGCACTTTAGCAGAAGAGATAGTGGCACTGCTGAGGACGCTCCATTCGCTCAGCCAGTGGAATGGACTCATAAACAAGTACATCAACTCTCAGCTAACCTCCATCACCCACATCTTTGCAGGAAAACAGTCAGAAGGGGTAGTTTCCACGTTTTAAAATAAGCTCATTTTTATAGCAATATTTATTTTGAAAATATTAAATAATTGTAAACAATTTTAAGCTTAATTTTGAAACCATTTTTATATTTTTTATATATATATGTGTATTTATCTGTTGTAATTTTAAAATTGAAGTATGTGTGATTGACTTTGAATTTTAAAGCAGATAGAAGTATATATTTTCTCCCTACAGTTAGTTCTATTGTTCTTTGTTAGGCTATGTTGGATGACTACTTTCCCGACACTGAGAATCCAGAGGTGGGAGGCCTAATGGCAGTGTTAGCAGTGATTGGTGGCATTGACAGTCGCTTGCGACTGGGTGGACAAGTAGTTCATGATGAATTTGGAGAAGGCACAGTGACACGCATCACCCCAAAAGGGAAGATCACTGTACAGTTCTATGACATGCGAACATGTAGAGTGTGCCCTCTGAATCAACTAAAACCAGTAAGTTCTTTTCATCGAGGCTTTAATACAGAGAAGGGTATGGTTAAAGAGTCTGATATGGTGCAAAGAAAATATTTGTTCTTCATTGGGTAAATACATTGACATTCAACACATACAGTGCTCTGAATGCAAATCTGAGATGGTACTCATGCAAACCTCTATGGGGCCTTTAATGCCTGTCTTCATTTGTTGACAAGGTGAAAGGAAAAGGGACTTGAGCTGAATTCCTTTGATTTGAGGTAAAATCCCAAGTCGTGACAATGTGATTTATAGTTCTTACATGAGAGGAGCTTGCTTATTTGTATTTGACTTGATTTGCTAACTCAGTAGAAACTCTTGGTTGTTTTCATTTGAATCTTAATCACTAGTTGGTTTATATGGCTTTAGTGAAAGCACAGTGCAAGTGCCTGGTCTGCTTCAGGGATTGCAGTTCTTCCTTGTTCCAACTCTGACCTGCAATTGTGTGGTACAAATACAGGCTTAGGAGCTATGTAGGGAACAGAAATCCTCTCCAGTTTTTCCTGGTCAAGAGCAGTAAGATGAATGCCATTTTTTCTCTTCTTCAGTTAATATCTATTGAAACTTTTGAATTATTTTGTCAAATTATGGAAAATGCTTACCTGTATCCTTTTTGTTTTGTCTGGTTCTTCCCCCACTGTCTAGCTCCCAGTTGTGGCTTTTAATGTGAACAACTTGCCTTTCACTGAACCTATGCTATCCATTTGGGCTCAGCTAGTAAATCTGGCTGGAAGTAAAATAGAAAAACAAAGAATGAAGTCTCCAAATCAGGGTCTTTCAGGTACAGTTAGGGTTTGGTTTGTTGTTTGTTTGTTTGCTTGTTGTTTTTGTTTTGTTTTCAAATAGCTGGTTATAGTCTGGAAAAAATACTGGTAACAACAAACGTACAGAAGAAAAAGGGTTTGCTGGAACCTTACCTTTTTTTCTTAACATTGAATAGTACGCGTTTATGAGACAAGTTTGTCTAGGAGATGAATTGCTCTGCACTGTAAGTGGAATGCCATTTTTACTTTGGCGAGAAAATATAAATAGCGTTTGGGTCTGGACTACTTGTATTGAATTGGATGCATATAACATCTTAACTCCACTTACTGTGCTATATATTAGCTGTATGATTGCCTAAGGTATGAAAAGGAAGATGGTGGTGTTCTTCATATTATGGGTCATAGAATGCATGCAGGTTTTTTATCCAGGTGCTGTTCAAACTACCTCATATAATCAGTATTCACTCATACAATCATCACAGATTTCCCATAGTGGGTTAAGATATAAACTGATTTTTGGACTGAGGTTTTGTGAATGATGGCCTTTCTTCTCTAATACAAGAGATTCCTAGTGCTAATGGCTGCTTAATATTTCCGATAGGTCAAGTGGATTTGGACCTACTGCGATGCCAGCAATTGAAGCTGTACATACTGAAAGCAGGCCGAGCTCTACTTTCTCACCAGGATACACTGAGGCAGATCTTATCTCAGCCAGCTGTTCAGGAGTGTGCATTAAATCCTGCAGGTATTCTGAAGTGCAACCTGAGTGTGCTGCTGTTTGTCTGGATGGTAATAAGAGTATCCGACTATAACCCTTGCTAATGGCAGCTGGAGGCTAGATATTAGGTTTGCCCTCTAAAGACTAAAAATTCAAGATTCAGGAATGTTTTAACCTTATATATTAAAAGCATTTTGACTTTTTAACTTAGGTTTTGAAGACTAAGTGGATCAAGTGTTTGTAGCTTGATGTATTTGAGTTAGCTAAATTTGTAAGTTTTCTATAGTTAGTAACCTTTATAAGTAATTTTAAAAAACTTGCGGTTTTTTTTGCAGTGGTTTCTTTTTCTGCTTCAAAGCTTAAAGTATACATTCTTAATTGGCTATTCCTTTTACTTCAAATGTTCTGCAGTTTCCAGTGAATCAAGTACCAGAATACAGTGTCTTAATGATAATCTTAAAAGGAGTTTAAGGAATTATAGTTGTAATAATTTGAATTAATTCTCTATATACATTAATTCGATATATAAAAATAAAGAAAATAAGTCTGTCAGCTTTCAGGATAGCTATTGATGTTGTTATAGTTTATATTAATTCTTTGGGAATTTGTGAATCATGAAATATATTTAAATATATAAATATTTGGTTTATTTGTATAGTTCTGGGGGTTTTGTCAGTTGCCAAATTTTAAGTCATCAGAATCATCAGGTTTTTTCCCAGGAATGGAACATGGAACGTTGTTTTACTTTTACCATCAGTTTCTAAGGGGGGGGGAAAAAAGACCCAGCTGCTTTTTTTTTTTTTGTCCTTTTTTTAACCAGAACAGGATAAGTGAACACTATTAACTGTTTTGTTACTGTTTCAAACATGAGAACTTCCTTTTGTTGGAGTTAAATGAAGAATGTGAACTTTGCTGAGACAGTCACAGTAAAGATCTCAGAAACACGAATGATTGTGCCAACAAGAATACAAAATCAAAGTTGCAGAATCAATTCAGAAAAGGTGTACTCTGTTGAAGGGGTGATGAATACTTAGAGGGAGCTCTTCCCAAGAGGTGTATTAAAGGGGGAAATTACTCAATCCAGAAAGTATGCACCATGCTGAATGACTTCTTCACCTCGGTCTTC